CATTAAATCTTAGCCCTGCCCTTTTCCCACCCTGATTTTAGCTCTGTCCTGCAACACCAAGTGTTCAGTTTTCCCTCTGACTCCTCCACATCTCCTATCTTTTCATACTATACACAGCACAGTTTCCAAAATCCTTCCCAAACCAACCCACCTCTTCTCCCCCTTCCTATCAGACCTGTCTAACGTGTCCAGCACCACCACCTTGGCAGGAGCAATTCCAGGAGAGGTTCCAGCTGTGCCAGCAGCAACCTGGATCTACCCTGGATTCTGGTTCCCAGGAAACAGAACTCAAGAATATTGAATAATATAAAAATAATTCGCTTTGGTCAACTTCTGTGGTGCCCCAGTTCCTGATTCTGAGCTGTATTTTTAAATTCAGCTTTGATGGAAGTCAATCACTCAAAGATTTTTTTTTTTCTTTAAACATCAGCGCATTTGACATAAGGATTTTGCCTCATTTTGCTGCTTCAAACTTTCCAATTCCTTCATTCAAGAACAAAAAAGAGTCATCCTTGTTCAACAACAAAAATATTTGTTATTATTTTATTATTATTTTGATGATTTTTGTGGAATTAGGAAAAAAAAAAGATCTGGTTTGAAAATGACAGTGAATCCCACATTCTCCTATGCAGACATACAGAAATTTTCAGCTGTCAGCATAACAATTCCTCAAGTTTTCTGAATCCATCCTCCAGCAGTAAAATTCTACCTACTCTTTTATCTATTCTGGATATTTAGACGGAAAATTATTTGAGTGGGAGGCAGCTTGTTCGTTTCAAAGAGGATGACAAAGACTTGTTACTCAAAAGCATCTGTGCCTGTTCCTTCATTAAAGGTCATTTTCTTCCAGTCAGATCTTGCAGAGAACATCTTCTACCCCCTTAGCTTTGATACCCTGCAAGCAGCAACTGGATCATGTCCTTGGAATTCCAGATATCTCCTAAGGAATCCACATGGAAAAGGCAATACCCACCTCTGTTTCCAAAGCAGCCAATTGTGGTTTGGGATATAAAATGCAATAAATCCCCTGTGCAGCACTGCTCCTCCCTGTCCCTCCCAGAGCTGTCTGGTGATTATTGTTTTGACCATTGTTTTCATCCAAGTCATTAAAAACATTCTCTCATTAGATTTAGAAGCAGAACACAAAAGTGGTTTAAAAACTCACCCGGCTCCATTTTCTCTTTTTATGGTTTTTTTCTTTTTTTCCAAGAGCTTTCCACCTAGTCCAAATGCAAGAAGAAATTCCAGCCCATTAACATCCATCAGAGAGCAGTAATGAACTCATCAATACTGCCCCAACCCGTGGGCACGGCATCTTGCTGAATCATTTGGTAACTACATCCTCAGCAGGAAGGGCTCACACATCCCTCCCCACACTGCCAGCAGACACCTCCCTGATGAAGGAAAAATGAATGTATTGAGATCTCCCTCAGCTCTGTTATCCCTCTGGATGGGGTTGGTGGTGCCTCTCCACACCAGGATTCCCACAGCCATCAAATCCTGCCTGGAGCTGCTCCCCCTGGACATGTCCTTCCTTTGCCAAGCCACCTGCAGGATTGCAAGGAGCTTTCAGCGCTCTTTCTTCCTATAAATGACACAAGGATTTGGTTTTTCCCTGCTTTTTAATGTACAATGGAAATACGTTAAGCCTTAAATTGAGTATTTAATTTGCAAAGAAAAAAACCAAGAAAATCCCCTCCACACCAGGTTACTGCAATCACACTGAACTGTAATTTTATTTTTGTGCCCATTTACAGAGCTGTGGAAGGAAAAACATCTTCCTTCAGCAAGAAGTTTTCCTAACAGTGACAGTTCTATGCATAAGGAAAGCTAAAAGCTACCAAAATCAGCCAGTCTTAAAAGAAAACAATTATCAAGTAACATGCAAGTTTAGCTGCCAAAAAAAAAAAGCCCATACCTGTGGCTGGAGTACAAGAGTATTAAGTTACAGTTCTCACAACAAAGGAAAAGGAACCTATTCTTGAAAAAAAAATTTAAAAATCAGTTAATGATATAAACAAAATTATCCTTAAATGTAGATTGGAGAACACTCTGCCAGCTTTGCCTTGCCCAGGGATGGCACAGCTGGGGGGCTCTGCAGTTTTCCATCTAAGTCCCCTCCTTGTGTTTACACTCTCAGCTCTAATGAAATCTCTAATTAACCCCACGAATAAATAGGGGTTTGTTAAGGTAGCCCTTAGAAAGCAAGGCGAGCTAATTCAGGTCTCAGCACCTCTGCTGCCTTAACACAGATGATGTCTCAGAACATACACTCACACATGTGTCTACATATCCTCAACTCCCACGGCTTAATTCAATTAATACTATTAAATCTTTAATGCTTGCCTTCAAAGGCTTTTTTTAAATTTTTAATAGCTCTCATAGGTGAGCACGAATGTTTTAAGTCTTTCTGCTATATTTTAAATAAACTCCTCTTTTCTTGCCACTTTGATGTTTGCCTTTCTGACAAACCTCTGCTCTGTGAAGCTGCTGCGACTTTGTTTTGTGTGCAAGGATGACATTACAAGCTCCAAAAGATATGTTAATCACCGAGCTGGAATCTGGGATTTTTTTAATTCCTCTCACCTGCCCTCTGGGCTGGGAGTTGGCACCAGAACAGCTTTCATCAAAACAATGAAACCCAGAAGGAGAGAAGAGGCAACTGGAGGGAGGGGGCTCTGATTTGCATCTGTTTAGCATGGAAGTGACAGGCGGAGCTTAATTCTCTTTTACTCTGCTTTCCCATGAAAGGAGAGAATGGCAAAGTCACCGTATTTTATTTAAATAGTTAAAATAGGAGATTTGACAAAAGACTGGTCAAGCTGGATGGAAGAATAAGCTTTGTGGTATTTAAAGGCACATCCATTTCACAAGTTTGATGGGCATTGAATTAGGTTTTAATTCTCCCCTTCTCTCATTCCAACTACCTTGAGACCCCTCCCCACTTTGCCCCGTTTCTAAATTTTGAATTTGTGAGACAAGAGACAAAGCTTTGACAGCATATTTCAGGCTTTTCTGTAAAGCATAAACTACAACAAGAAATTAAAAAGAAAAAAACAAAACAAAACAGCACAGACTTTCCTCCTCCTTTAAAGTTTATTTTTCTTCTGAGTAAGAAAACCCTTCTTAAAATAAAACTAAAAATCAGCATTTCCAGGGACAGGAAAAGGCACTATAGTATTATATACACTATCCAAGCTGACACAAAAAAGAAGAGATTAAAAGCCTGGCTGGAAGCCAAGGCATCCAGACACAATTTTGCACAGAGCGTAGAGAACAAAAGTGTTCCTGCATTCAGGATGTTGGAGCGTGTTTCCTGCACTCACACCTGAGAGCAAACAGCACTAAAAATCCATTTCAAACCAGGGATCCCAGTCAGGCCCAGATCAACAGGTCCCTCACCCCTCCTGAGTGAAAGACATGTTTGATCCAGACCATCTCCTGCACAACACACCCCTCCCTCAGAAAGCAAATTAAAAACAGAATAACAAAGACAAGCTACAAAACTCTCCTGCTGTTCTTCACTCCTCAACATTTCAGCAGAGTTCTCATCACACAGAGCACTCCCCAAAATTCCAAATCTCCAGCCATACACCACGTCCTGACTTTTAAAGCTGATGTAAATACTCCTGGAGGCATCCTACGGTCGTATTATGATGAAATTAAATATACACAGACACTATTGGTTGGCAGACAGACACCGAAATGGCAATTGCAGCACTGAGTGTGTTTAAAGCAGCAGGCCAGGCAAAAGGAGATTATTCACTAGGTAGTCAAACGTAAAAAAGAGCCAGACATTTCAGTCTGTCTCAGTGTCTCACAAAGGGGGCAGCGATTTGTAAATTTTAAACACAACACTTAAGCAGTTTTGCAGACTAAAAATCCTTTGATGATTTACCTCAGTGGTTCTCTGCAGTATACCAGTATAAAAGTGATTTCGCTGTACTCGAGCTTTTATACTTCTCTACAAGAATTCTGAAAGCCAAGTCAAACCAATCATAAACATTCCTGTATTTTACTTCCTTATTAAAGCTTCCCAAGAGAACCAGTAGACATATAAACATAAATATCTTTCAGAGGAGTCACCCAAGTACCAATAAAATCTTCAGAAAGTAGCTGCTTTGCTGCAAAAGTATGTAAAACCATGGGCTGCATAATCATAGCCTCGTGCAAGGACAGTCATGCTGTTCCTCTGAGCAGCAGATAGAAATTTCTGCTTTAAAAATATACATAAATTGAAAAGATTCTCAAAAATTACAGTATTAAATATTGATTTCTGATCTGCATTTGCATACTCCTAAGAAAAGTAGTCTGTGTCACCTTATGTCGTTTATCTAAAAACATTCCAGCAGAGGCATTATCTTGACTTTCTGAGAAACTCTTCTAAATTGGTAGACAAAGTTTAACTTCATGAACTCTGCTCAACAACAGCAGCAAAATATAGTAACACTTCTCATAGGTAATATGCATTCTGTCCTTAAAAAAGAAAAAATCACTGCAAGCAGCAGAACACTGCAAGGAGCAATCAAAGCCCTGCAATAAGGCAGGATGGGCTCAGAAGACAAATATTTCATTAGATAACACAACAGAGGGGAGCTTATGCTTTCCAGTGGTCATTAGAGAAAGAGGTTTTCATCAAAGAATTAAATACATTGGCAGGGACATTTTAAAGATGCACCAGATCTTCCCTGGATCTGAATTTTGAGGGTAATGCCTGATCAGGAATTTCTAACCAGACATTACCAGTCACAATCCAGCAATGGCACAAAATGGGAGGCTGTTTCTCTGATTAATTAAAGTGAATGATTTAAAATATTAAAGTTCTGGTTTTCAAATAAAAATTGAAGTGCTTTCCTTTACATGCACCATGTGGCAGAGCACACTGTGCTTGACCATCCACCAGAGAACAGGCATGGTAAAACAGCTCTGCAGATAAGGATTAATTAATGATCTTCAATTCTGGCTGATTTCATAGGTTAGAGCAAACATCTCTGCCTTACTGCTGTTGTCACAAGCCTCATCCCTGTCCAAACAGAGCTGAAAGTCAGTAGAAAAGCAGCTTCAGCAGCAATTGGGTCAACAGATTTGGCTGAAGAAATCCTCATCACTAAAAAGAAAGAAATAAATAAAAATCAGAATGACAAAAGTGAAGTGATGCTTGGGGTGTGCTCACCCCGTCAGCAGCACACACGAGGAACCTCCTGGGAACAGAATTCCTACCTAGAGGGAGACATGTCTGAAGGATTCTTTTGTGCTGCCATCTCAGGGGAGGAAGTTACCTTTAAAAATACTTTGTTTGCTCTGTCCCTGAGGAATATCAGAACTGTCTGTATCAGTTGCTTCAGTGGGGTTTGGCCCACAAAGGTTTTACTGGTGAACTGCACAGCCCTTACACCAGTGAGCAATTTACTCATGACATTACTCCCTTTGGACTCAGAAGAACTGCGTGAGAAAGAAGGAGCTTTGCCAACCTAAAGGTTGCACAATCAGGTGGGAAAAAAGAAGTACAAGCAAACCAGGGAGGGGGATAAATTGCAACTGACAAAAACTACAATCAAGAAATAGCTGGTGACAGATTGTTATTTAAGTACAAGGAAGTGATTTAAACAGGAGCAGTTGTAATAAGATTATACGATTCTCTATTAAGATTCTTAAAATGTCTTTGTTCTAGCAAAGCTCTGAAAAGACCATTGCCCTTGCAAAGGTTCAGAAACTACTAAATTGATGTTAAGTCCAGAAATTAATATGATTTGGGAGAATAAAGATAAAATGTAAAAGAACATCCCAGACATCATTAGGGGACCACGGGTGCTGTGGCATTTCTTGGTGGCAAAACTCAAACCAAACAAACAGAAGTAGGGAGCTTGCTCTGCCTGGGTTTCTGCTTTTAAATAATGAAAACTCCCAGGTTGATTTTAGAAGCCATCACATTATGTAAGTGACATCTCCAGAAGGGCAGGGAAGTCTCTATGAGGTTATACTGGAGAGATTAAACCAGTGTCTGGCTGCTGAATTTTAGCCATGACCCCCAGATTCCACCATGTATTTTAATTAATCAGTTCTAAAACTACAGCCCCCAAAACTGGCCATAACTCCTGCAACACTGAAAAGCAAACAAGGCAAGGGAGTCTTCAGATTTCTGCCTGGTAGGGTGAACATAAAACAACTCTAACTAAGGTGTCTGGCATGGTTTTAAACTAATAAGCAGCTTAGAAATTTCAAAATAAAACCAATTTATTACTTAATTTGTACAAATATTGTTCACTGAGTGCTGCATTCTGAGAAACAAAAAAGCCTCCAAGAGACAGGTGTGTCCCATGCCTGCAGAAGCAGCACAGAGGCCTCTCCTGCCTGGGTGACCCTCCAAACTCTCCTGGACCTCATGACCATTCAGGATTTATTATTATATGGTGACATGAAAGGCTCAGGCACTGCAGACAACATGGCTAAACTAAAACAGCTCTGGGAGGAGAGGCAGGAGCAGGGTGGAAGGAAAGGCAGGAACAGGGTGGAAGGAAAGGCAGGAACAGGAGCAGAAGCAGGGTGGAAGGAAACTGCAGAGATTTCAAGCACATATTCCAGCTAATTACTTGAGGCAGCTCAGGGAGCTCCGCTCCTGACAGGGGAAGGAAAACTATGCCTTGAAAACAATTTGTATGGATCATGACAACAAAACAAGATTTGTGTATTTGAGATTCCTTCAAACTTCCCCAGCCACCTCCACCATAAAACACAGATAAGGGGAGCCTCCAAGGCGGAGCTGCATCCAGGCCTGGGCTGGGACTGGTTTTACCCAGTCCCAGAGGCAGCTGCACTCCCACTGCCAGTGGGGACCTGTCCGAGCCTGAGTTCCTGCCTCCCCACCTGCACAGAGCTGGATTTTGCAAGCCAAGGCACAGGAGGCGTGAACAGCCCAAGCCTGACCTTGAACACAAGCTCGAGGCACCAGTTAGAGGCACTTATGTTAACAGCCCTGGGTGACAGGAACCAGAGAAACACAGTTAACAATTAATGCAACACAGGGTATTGGCTCTGAGATCAATTCAAGTTCAATTTTTGTAACAATACCAGAAAAATGAGCTGAAGGTTATCTATACAGAAGAAAAGCATCACGCTAGCATAGTAACTCAAAGTTATATTTTTATGTAAAAAGGCACAATAGTGAATTACAAACTGAATTCTGCAGACATCTCCAGTGCCAGTGCAACCAACAAACACAAAACAGTTCTATACTGACTTTCTAATTAGTATCATCATTCATACAAACTCCACTATTAGATATTTACATAAAGCTCAATCTTGGTAACTTAAGATACTCTCTTTAAACTCTGCCTACAGCCACTGGTTACCTACAGAAACCACCACAGAACCTTCTGACCCAACCACTTTGCCTTTATCAATGGTCTGGAGAAGCATCATAAAATCAAGCAAACCCTAAATTTGGAAACCAGAGACAAAACTGTTACTTGTAAAATGATAAATAAAGAATACCAGTTTTCCTGTAGCTTTCTACCACTCAGCGAGAGGCTCAGCCCAACAGCCACTGAGTTCTAGATCCATCCTGAAGCCCACAGCCTCTGAATTCACTCTCATGTTCAACCATTCTGGATTTTTTCTCCATGCAGAACAGGAAACAACCAGCTAAACTGATTAACTCAGACCTTTTAGGGTCTGTTATTCAGCACAGCCCAGTCCTTACCAAACCTGGAGCACACCAACACTAGCAGACCTACAATCAGCCCCAGCAGGTTTTATTCCAGAGGACAGCAATCCATGTTGTTCTCCTCCATGGAGTCTCCTGCCTTCTTAATGAGCAGCCAGGCTACTGAAACACACAAAAACCTGCTGTTCTTTGAAGCACTTAAGCCAGCAGGATACTGGTATGTTTCGATATTTTCCCTGCACAGATCAGAGCGAGGCAAAGTGGGAAAAGAACATTACAGGCGTTCCTACAAAGCAGGCACATTTCATTTTCTATTAGCAACATCCCAAGGGACACTTTAGCGCTCTGCAAATATGGCCCTGGAAGACTGGGAAGTTGCTTCCTGAGTACCAGTCATTAAAGAAAGATATTAGAATAACTTATATTCTTCTACACCAAGCAAAAGCCAGAGTCATTTCCCCATCCTACGTACGAGACCTAAGAAAAGCAAGATCAGGAATATCATAACTACTCTTTAATGTATTTCCCCTAAACTGATTATCATTTAATGATTTCTCTCTAAAGGAAAAAAAAAAAAAACAACCAACCACAGAAACAAAACCCCGATTTCTGTATCAAGAGAGACTATCAGCATTTCTATGAAGCAACAAATTAGGCCTTTGGCATTTCCCAGCAGTGATCCAAGATTTGAGGCTCCATAAAAGCTCCAAGTTTTAAAGCAATCAAATGGCTGACAGCTGGAACAAAACTAGCGTGATTAACCAGTTATGTAAATAATGATGTGGTCAGTGCAAGCTGAATTCATTTCTGCATTATGCCTGCATTATACCGGACATCAGATGTTTGTGAACTCTTCATTAAATGTGACTGTAGGAATAATGGAAGTGAAAACCAACATGAACATCACCAGCCAGGCTACCTGACAGCCAGGGACCTCTCCTCTGGTCCTTCCACAACCACCAGGTAACTCATAAACAGCACTTTCTTAGCCCAAATATTATCCACCACTGCTTAGCTTCTACCTAGTGAACAAGTCAACTTCTTTTTCTCAGGAGACAAGTCCATGGAGAGATGGAGAAAGATGGAGAGAGCCCATTTATTTACAAGGGTCTGGAGTGACAGGCCAAGGGAGAATGGCTTCCAACTGACAGCAGAGCAGGGTTAGATGGAATATTGGGAAGGAATTCCTCCCTGTGAGGGTGGGGAGGCCCTGGCACAGGTTCCCAGAGAAGCTGTGGCTGCCCCTGGACCCCTGGCAGTGTCCAAGGCCAGGTTGGACAGAGCTTGGAAAAAGCTGGGACAGTGGGAGGTGTCCCTGCCATGGCAGGGGTGACACTGGATGAGCTCTGAGGTCCCTTCCAACCCAACCCATTCTGGGATTCAAAGACCCTGTGAGTGCTACATTACTTTTCTTAAAGGCTGATAATAATTTTCATTCCTCAGCAGATGTAAAAGTCAAGCTGCTGTGTCAGAGAACTTTTGTGACACAAGGCTAGCATTGCAGAATTACTTCATGGAATCAAGGAAATGACAATCAGCACCCCCAAGTCAAACTTCCTCAAATGGAACCCACAGTTAATTTGGCCTTATCAGAATTTGCCTTCAGGAATGCACACTCATGGGTCGTTTGTGCTTGATAATTTTTGATAACATAGTTAAATATTTAATATGGGTAAGATTATCGCTGAAATTCTGTCGAGCTAGTTTACCATTACTTCAAGCTTATAAAGGAAAATTTATCAAAAGTTTTGATTCTTCCCAGTAAAACTCCATACTTGAGTTTGTTCAAAAATAACACATCTGAGAATCAGCCAAGACAAACATATTTAGAAGTAACTCCTAAACAGGCTGCATTTCACTAAAGATACCATTACAATATATTTCTATTTCTAATTTTAAAAAATCATTCATCCCACATTTCACACCCCAACAATACAATTTCCTATGACCTCCTGTCTCACAAAACACAGCAACACACCAGAATTATGCAAGAGTTCTGTATTACCATAAAACAGATATTTCAGTGGGGAGAACAATAAAACTTAATCTCGTGGCCTGATTTGCATTTTGAACTCCTCGAGTCGGACTCTACAGCCCATAACATCTGCAACAGCTTCACAATCCTAACAAGTCTTTTAGGCCTCCTGTTGAAAATGGATGAGCATGTAGATAATTCAGGTTATTTTCTTAATAAATGAGAAGAAAAAAAAAATGTCCAATTGCTGTAAATTTAAAATCTCACTTGGCTTTTCAGATCAGTGTCGATACGGCACTTGAGAAGGGGGAGGGGGAAGAATTACACACCCATAAAACTGAGACCAAACGCTGCCAGTTTTAAAGCCTTAGAGCTTTAAATCTGAACATGAATATTTTAACATTTACATTAAAGCCTTACGGCTTTAAAATAGGGGACTTCCATTGTGGGCAGCCTGTGATAATTACTGCTTCAATATATTTTACAGCAATAATGTAATACAGCTCGCTGACTACCCAACGTTAATCTGTAGCATCACAGGTACTGCAGGTAAAAAAATTTTAAAAATATATATGAAGTACGTATCAGTATAAATATATAGAGAGAGAATATCACAGAACCACAGAAAATCACGGAATTATTAGGGTTGAAAGGGTCCTCTGGAGATCATCTAGTCCAAGCCCCCCCCTATAGCAAACAGCCCCTTAAAAATTATTAAAAGCATTAATACACATCTCCGGAACAACGATATTACTGAAAATACAACAAAATAACCCCCGGCCCTCCGGGATGGAGGTGAACAAGGCGGGGGGGGGTCGGACAGGGCGGACCGGAGCCCCCCCGCCCCAGCGCCGCCGCCGGGAGCCCCCCGAGCCCGCAGGCCCCGCCATCCCCCGCAGCCCCGGGAGGCCCATCGGGAGCCAGGCCCAAACTTGGGGCCGCGGGGCCCGAAGCCATCCCCGCCGCCGCCCGCCCAGCCACCCACCGGCGACAACAAAGGCCACCGCGGCCCCGCGCCCTCCCCGCGGGGACCCCCGGGGGCCCTTCCCGCGCCCACCCCGCGCCCCGCGGAGGGGAAAGGCGGGGCCGCGGCGGCCGCCCGCCCGTTCCCCCCCCGTCCCGCAGCCCGCGGGAGCCGCGCTGACCTGCGGGCGCGGGGCGGGCGCGGTGTCCCGGTGTCCCGGTGCCCGGCGGCCGCGGGCTGCGCTTGACACCCACACGCACCATCCAACATGGCGGCGGCGGCCGCGGGGAGGCGGCGGAGGAGGCGGAACCGGCGGCCGCGCGCGGCCCCGAGGCGCGGCCGCGCTGAGGGCGGGGGGGACGCGGCGCTGCCCGTCCCCTCCTTCCCTCCCTCTTCCCTTCCTTCCCTCCCTCTTCCCCTCCTTCACTCCCTCTTCCCCACCTTCCCTCGCTCCCGGGGCGGCTCCTCGCAGCCAAGCCCGGCGCCAGTGAGGAGCGAGGCAGGATCGGCCCCCGGGCAGGGGCGGCTTTTTGATGGAAGGAGAGCGCCTGGGGAGCCCCCTCAGTGCTCGCAACGCCCGGGGTCCCCCAAAAACCTGGGCGAAATAATACAAAAAAAGTCTGTCATTACAAAATAACCACAGTTATGGGACAAGGGAACGCTTTAGAGAAGGAAATCAACCCTTTAGAGAGGGTTCAGAGCTGGTTGTGATGGAAGGAGAACACTGGGGATCCCCTCAGTGCTCACAGAACCCAGGAGGAGCTGGTTTCAGAGCTAGAGATCCCCCAAAATCCAGAGACAAAAAAAAAAAATACAAAATAATGGCTATCAGTACAAAATAACCACATTTGTGGATGAGGGTACACTTTAAAGCAGGTTTGGGGCTGCCTTTGATGGAAGGAGAAGGCTTGGGGAACATAGTCCCCCTCCACACTCAGCACCCAGGGGAAACTGATTTCAGCGCAGGGTAGACTCCCAAAAATCGAGGTCTGGTGTGGGCTGGCATCCCTCAAAGCAGAATCATAAAATGAATTAGTTCAGAAAAGAACTGAGATCAAGTCCAACTTGTGGCCAAAGACCCCTTTGTCAACCAGACTATGGCACTGAGTGCCACATCCAGCCTTTAAACACCTCCAGGGACAGCGACTCCACCACATCCTTGGGCAGCTCATTCCAATATTTAATCCATCTTCCTATGAGAAAATTCCTCCCAACGTCCAACCCGAACCTCCCCAGGGGCACAGCTCCCATTGCCTCACACGGCACAGATACTACACTTTCCCCTCTCCCAGTGGAGATGCAAATAGGAAATAAACAGATTTATGGCTAAGGGGACACTTTATGGACACATTTGTGGATCAGGGTTGCCACTCTGGGTGATGAAGGGGAGCTCAGCAGGGACACAGAGGCACGAACGTGGCAGGAGGAGCCGGGAGGTCTGGGTGGGTTGGAGCTCACGTCCTTCCCCTCGGGATAATGATTAAACCTGTGTCCGGCATTGCGGGCTGGAGGAGGTTTTGCTCCCATTGTAGTCCTCCCTGAATATATTTGTTCCCATCTTAAAACCATGAGAGACAATTCAAGGAAACAGGACTGCTCAGGAGACAGTCGGGATTGGCGCAGGCCAGGGGAGAAGCTGGATAGCAGAGCTCTGCTTGGATCACTGCTGGCACAGGGCAGTGCCGCTGGTTATTTAAAACCCAAATTCCTGAGGAATCGTGCCTTACGAAAGCATAGGAAAACAGAAATATAGAGCAAAATCCAGTTTATGAGTCACTGCTTTTAAGTGAAAGGAAGGTCAAGCTGAGCACTGCAAACTTCATCAAATCCCAGAATAGTTTGGGAAGGGACCTTAAAAACCATCTCGTTCCAAAGACACCTCCCACTATCCCAGGTTGCTCCAAGACCCATCCAGCCTGGCCTTGGAAACTTCCAGGGATGGAGCATCCACCACTTAGAGCCCAACCCTTCCTCCCATGGAGCCACTATCAAATCTGCCACAGATTTGAGGCTTAAATACAGAAGAACGAGGACTGCAGTGAAACACCGAGTGAGCTGTATTAAAAGCAACTTGTTTAGAAATGCTGCACATTCCAATGCCTTGAACACCATCTGGGAAGCTCCAAATCTTCTGCGGCGAGCTGTGATTCTGGCTTAGCTGCTAACCTTGAACTAGGCAGGATTAAATTCTGGGTGAAAAAAATAAGGGATCAGCACACATCTGATGGTATCAGCAGGAGCTGAAAGAGTACTTCCCCCTCTTCTTCTTTGCAAGAAAACAGCAATGATAGAAACCCAATGTTTCTGTGCACGTTTATTAATCCTAATGATCTGGTGCTGACAGCTCTAAAGGAGGAGAAGAAAGCTCTTGGTTAAAATAAAATGGGAAGAACAAGATTGTTCCTGCTGCCTTCTCTCCTGCCTATGTTCCTTCCAGATCTGGGCAGACAGCTCTCCAGAGCAGGAGGCAGCTTCCCCTCCATTCTCAGCTCCATCCCAGGTGTCTGTCTACATCATTAAGTGTGCAAAACAGCAAACCCAGCAAAAACCTCCTGCAGCTGGCACACTTCCACCAAAAAAACTGTTTTCTATCAACCAGATCAAGCCCCTTAGTGCAAGTAAAACAAACCAGCCAAGTAAAATCACTTATTTTTTGATTATTATATCCTTGTTAATGCCTTAAATTGCAGTGTTCCTGCTACCCTGGGCAGGCACATGAGTGCTAGAGCTGCACCAGCAGAGCTTTTCCCAAGGTGCACAGGGATGTTCCCTCCTGGTGGCCTTGTGGCAGTGGATTTACATCTCTTGCTTCATATTAGCAACAGGAGGTCGCTGTCCTGTGATTTTAAACCCAGGAGCTGGTGTAGAACACTTCCCTTTGGAGCAGGTTGTCCTGGATATTGACCCGAGCCATCTCTGATCCTTCCCAGCCCACAACATTTCAGCTGCGTTGGCAGAACCAGAGTCCAAGGCCACGATTTGCAGTCTGAGTTGGGCACCAGGAGCTGGCACCACCCTGATAACCAGCGGAGCAATTCACAAGGAGAAGGCAGCTCACAGACTCCAAGATATCCTCGGATATGGAAGGAACTCACAAGGAACATCAAATCCAACTTGTGGTCCTGCACAGGACAACACCAAGGATCAGGGACACATTTCACTAGACCAGGTTGCCCAGAGAAGCTGCAGCTGCCACAGCCCTGAAAGTGTCCAAGGCCAGGTTGGAGAGGGCTTGGAGCAACATGGGATAATGGAAGGTGTCCCTGCCCATGCCAGGGGTAGAACTGGAGGGGTTTTGAGATCCCTTCCAACCCAAACTGTTCTGTGATTCTATGAATCCCACCCTGTGCCTGAGAGCATTGTCCACACATTCCTGCAGCTCTGGCAGCCTTGGGGCCGTGACCATTCCTAGGGGAGCCTGTTCAGTGACCCAGCACCCTCTGGGTGAAAAACCTTTTCCTAATAACCTAAACTTCCCTGGCACAGCCCTTGGGTCCTGTCACTGGTCACCAGAGAGGAGCTGGTGGCAGTGGATCCAGCGAGTGGGAGTAGAGGGACCATTACAATGCAAGGAGCAGCAGGATAAGGAGTGGGATGTCTGGAATGCAGGAGGCTCTCCCAGAGAAGATGAGGAAGGCACATCCTCCCCCAGCTGCCCTCCCAACAAACCTAGGGAAGAGCAGCTGCCAGGGAGCCCCAGGAGGGCCTGTTCCACAGCCATAATGGGAATATCACCCACGTGGGGCTGAGCACACCACTAATTAGCTAATGAGTTTGTTCCAAATGTCTGGCCACGGTGCGAGGGACAACAGGAGCAGCACTTGAAAAGCCCTGAACGATGACAAGGGCATTTGTCTCTTGTCGCTGACCCCAGCCCCGCATTAACAAATAGGTCACAAACAACGGTGCTTTGCAGTGATCTAATCCTCCAGCCATATGTCGGCTGCCCGAAAAAAACACTGCACAGAAAACGCCCCAAAGCTCTGCAAAAATCCCAAGGAAAACTCGATAAATATATCCCTGCCGTTTGAAATTTGATTTCCTCACTCTATTGTTCCTCATTTCCTGAGAGCTGGCTTGGTGGATCACATTTTCTGCTTCAGTCTCCAGTGCTTGTAAGCAAACAAGGCTGAATCTCATTATCCTGATGCACGGCCCTGGCTGCGTGCAATCCGATCTCTAAATCACAGTCATTTTGCTCCTTTACTGATTTTCCTTCCCACTCCTAACCTGCAGGTCCTTCAGAGGAATCAATGCAGAAATAGAGACGAGCATCATCTAATGAAGGTGTGTTTAATGTTCAGCGTTTCAGGCTGGATTAAATAGCCGAGTGAGAAACGGCCTCGTGTCTCGGGAGGTTGGGCACCCTCCACTCCAGCGGCAGCTGGAGCTTCCCAGCCTTCCCAGGAAGCCACATGCTTCCACATGGGATAAATGGGGACTTCAGTCCCTAAGAGCCCAATTTGGGAAATCTGCTAATTAAATAGTCTGGGCAAACACAATCATCATTGTCCTTAGAGCCAAAGCAGCGAGTTGTTTCTCAACAAGCACAGACCCTCCCCGGAATTTTCTGATCTGTCTGCATGTTGCTGACAGTTATAGAGAATATATTCAGATTATACAACTTGGTGTTCACCCCGGGTTATTCTCTCCTGGATTCATGAATATTTCATTGAAATATGCAAAGTCTGAGTTACAGCCTTGTCTGCTTCAATTAGACACACGGATCCACGGGGTCTGCAGCCCTACCACGCTTCCAGGGTTTGTCTACAAAGCGAGGAGAACCAAAATAAGAGTTTAGCTCCCATCATATTTAGCCTGGCTTCTTCAAGCATCTTTAAATAAGGCAGAAAAGCAGAAGGATGGGAATGAGGGAGAGTAGAACCCTGTGAGCCTGTGCCTGAGTTCAGCTGGAAGCAACCCAAGCTAATCAGAACAGAGCCAGCAGGAGGGGGTTTGTTCCCTTCGTGATGCAGACAAACTTGCAGAACTGTTTCCAATGCAAATATTCCTTTTGACAAGTTCAAAATTAATACACCTCTAATATGGGTATTCAAACCAGACCTTTTCTGAACACGCTGGCAGATTCATGAAAAGAGAAGGGAGAATGCAAGCCCAGCACATTCTGATTTTCTCAAAATGAATGTGCTCTGACAGTGCAAGAGGCAGTTTGAATGTGCTTAGTTCTAGTAATTACCAAGTGTTGTGTTTCTTTAGAAGCTGGAGCTGTTCTCATCATGTGGGCACCTTCCCTCATTCCTTTCTCCTTACTGCTCCGGAGGTGCAGTTTCTCCCATGCCACAGCAAGGAGCCA